ACAATGTTCTTTTTTTCACAATAATTTCTTCAAATCCAATAAGTCATACTAGATCTAAAGAATTGTTATTAAAAAGAACATTTTTACTTGAATAAGTAATTCCAAAAAAATGTCAATTTAAAAAAAATGTTTCTAAATTTTTGGCCTGGAATGTATGTTTAATAGACAAATAAGATATAATTCCTAATAATCACACACACGTACACACACGCACGCACAGAAAATGTATCTCCTTGATATCAAGAAGGAAAGAGGAGCAAACCGAATTTACCAAGCCTTCCAGCTTACAAGCTGGTGATGTATTTTCGCGACGACGAAGATAAAAATGGTGCTGATAACTACTCATTACGGCGTCGCAGTGCGCCGTAGGTCGACTTGATTAATATCCATCACGTACGAGTGCAGGACACGAGAGTTCAACTTACCAACAATCCGGTTTCCACGCTTGGCAGCAACGTTAGCCGACTGTCGTTCTGTAGGCCGTTTTCCGCGAGCGTTCCTTCGCGCAGCTGCCTGAAACAAGAATATCGACAAGGAATCGTTAGCGTGTTTGTTTGATAAAAGTTAGATAATATCTTGTTACTTAAAATGTATGCTAAAGCTGTTTATCGTAAGATTATTGTAGAGGAAGAAGTTTAGGAAATATATTTATCTAAGAATCATTGACAATTATATTTCAATTATCACATAGATAGATTGAATCTTTAAACGATATGCTGAATATTTAATAATGCATTAGAGGCAATAGATATAACTTCCTTTAATAGAGGTTATTGTTTTCCCTTTGGAAGTTTTTTTGGAAAAAAATATTGAATTCAATCTATCAATCAGATCTATAATTTGAGATATTAATATTTCAACTTCAGTTTATGCTTGCGTATCAAGTCTGCAGTTTAACTGAAAAATATATTTGCAAATACACCCAGAGAAAGGTTTCTTCGATTCAAAGAAATGTTTCTTTGCTGTACGGTTAAAGAAAACAATTTCTTTGATGTAAACATTTAAACATGATTTAAACATTTTTTTAGTCGAAAAAACCTTCCTCTAGATGTAGAATTATTTCTTTTGCTTTATTATTGATCTGATTTCCACTTATAACTCGAAATATTAGCTTCCAATTCTTCAACACATAAAATATATAAAATGAAGAGCTGTCTATATATATATATAAAATTTCCATGTATATATAATAACATTATTCATAATTAATCGCTGGTGATCAAAGTTTGCTTTTACGCAAGTTGTTCAAAGCCAGTTTTAAAAGGCCCCGTAGAATAAAAGTTATTTAAGAAACTGGTTTCATTATACTGCAATATAACGAAAGCATTCGTTCCGTAAAATCGTTACGGTTCTCTCACGAAAGAGTTTCTCGTCGCATCTGTGAACCATTCTTAGAAGAGAGGTCCGAAACTCACAATATATCGTACGATATAGCCAAAAAGATCGGCGCTCCAAAAAGTTGGAAATATCTCATTCGAGCGAGTGTTAAACGAGAGCTGTCGCAGTTTGGCACTTCGAAAAGCGACACGATGGAAGAAAGCTATACGATGGACGGGCTGCATGAAGAGGTGGAGAGAAGAGAGTCGTGTGGCAGTCGATGAAAAATACTTATATGCAACAGTCGACAGAATTGGGTCGCGATCGCTTTGCCTCTCCTCGGCATAACATCCCGATCTATATATCGGTTTCCCTTGGCTTTCTAAATAAATCGCGACGGACACGAAGTCATTCTTTCGTTTTGAAGCCTCTTGAAGTGCGATCGCTGGTGCGAAAAACACGCGATTTATACCGATTTAATAGTCCGCGTCTCGCAGGAGAGAGTCCTGGGTCTATATTCTTCAATTTATATCGCGTACGAAAATCTATAGGTAATATATGTAGCGTATACTGCTAAAAATTCATAGATTTTCGTACGCGATATATGTAAATTGAAGAATATAGATCCAGGAGAAATCTATAGGTAATATATTGTACGAGTATGTAGCGTATACTGCTAAAAATTCATAACGTCCCAAATTATACTCAATTTAAGTTATTTTTAATCACTGCACCAATTCAGTCATGTTATTTATTTAATTAAAACGATAAAGTTAAATAATTAAAAAAAGTATATTAAATTTATTATTATTATTGTTTACTAAGTTTAATAGGCTCATCGTTTATTAAGTTTACTAACTTTCATCATTTATTAAGTGCATAATAATATTAATAACGTTAATATGGATGTTGTTTATATTGAAATTAATAGAAATCAATTTACATTTTGACACACATAGAAGATAAAATAATTCTTGCATAGTTGTGAAAACTTTAACGAATTTTTACTATCACAGAAGACGGATTGTATTTTGTTTATTTTTTCTTAATTTAACTCCGAAATATATATGAATTTTCACTCATGCACTTTTTTTTTAACAAAATGTTATTTAATCCAATGAATTAAATTATTTGTTCCTACATGCATACATTGTTCCGTTGATATTTAAAAATATACCGTAGTATTTTCGTATGCGATATTTTTCATGAATAATGTCGACGGGGCCTTTGTTCGCTTCACATGATTGCATCAACTCTAATCTTCTGCCAGCCAAGTTGGACTTTGAAAGCAGTGAATATTGTGAATAGGTTTTAATAGATAAATTTGATCCTATATGCTATTCATTAACTCTGGGTAAAAATAAATAAGAATTTTTTTATATTTTTTTAAATGTCTACTTTATAGGTAGCAAAAGGTGTTAGAATAATTGAATTAATATTATATTTTGATATATAAAAAATAACTTCTAACATTAAATAATCTTATTAAATGTTTAATTTTAACCAAACATCACATTTTAAGCTATTAAAAATTTAATACCAAAAGCTATAGGTACTAAACTCAAAAAGTGGATGATGAAAATTCACTCACAGCAACATTCCAGAGTTAAATCTATAAAAACAAAATAAGTAAAATAGAACTTCTATAACGGTAAAAAACTCTTGCAGTAAAAGCTCAGTTAAAGAGCTCTCGTTAAAGAATTTTTTCAGATTTTTATATAGTCTGTAACAATATAAAAGTCTCTATTAAAAATCTAATGTTAACAAGATTCTACACGGCTAATAGAAGAAGACTAAAATAGCATAACTCATAGAAAATATCAAGGCAATGATGATGAAAAAAAAGAAAATTTAAAAATTATTGTTAAAAAGAAGTAAAAATTAAAACTAATTTTTCACTAATGTACAGTGTATGAGAAATTTCGACTTGGCTTTACAATTAATCGTCTTCAGCCATTAAATCACGAGAATGAATTAAGAGATTAAAAACACAATAAAATATGAAAGAATCATAATCACCAAAACGTTGGAAAGATTCACCAAACGATAATATTTAAAGGGAAAGTTATTATTAGGATGTATTATTGGACCAGCATGTCAAATAATACTGCGCTTTTTACCTGTATCTCTCTGAATAGATCTAAGTAAATATCTACTTACAGTAAATAAACGTTTAGTCAAGAAAAAATTATAATCAAATCAGATTAATCGTTCTGTATCAAAAAGTACCTACATATTAGGTGTAGTAAAAAGTCATCGCGTTTTTTTAAAAGACATCTATCAGTAAAAACCGCAATTACTTTCTTACCAACAATATAAATATATCTTAATAGAGTAAAGTTTCAGCTTTAAAAATCTCTTTTTTAAATTATACGATACGACAATTTTTAATGGAGTTATGAGCAATTAAAGTCAAAATAATTCTTTTATTTAATCCGCGATAACTCAGTGATCAAAAGTCGTAGGAATATTTAAAAAAAAAAACGATTTTGTAGGGAAAGTATCAAGCTTTCACGATATGTAATCGAAAATTTTCTCAAATTCGTTTTGGACACGTTACAAATCCACAAAGTGAGAAGAAAATTTTTCGTCTTTTTCAGCTCGTAGTTTTTGGTATGTAAAAATTATCAAACTCATATAAACTTAAAAAATGTGATAAGCTTTTAAAAGTAGAGATTTCAAGCTTTAAAACCCTTTTTTTAAATTTGAATTTTATTTATTATTGACGAAGATATTGTATATACAACTTTGAGCTAAAAAATACGAAGTGACTTTTTACTACACCTAATATTTGCATTTAATATACATTTATCACAGAACTATTCGCAAACAAATGTTTATTAAAATTTTAGTATTTCTTTTCAATGCGTCGAAAGAAAAGAAGAACGTTCCGCCTTCCGTACTTTGCGTTTTGTATTTCTGAGACAAAGTCCACCGCGACCCGGTTCGCACGCACGCCGCTATCGCGAGGCCGCTGATGCAACCGCTACCGCGGAGCGGAAATCGACCGAAATAAACACGCGTGCGTGTAAACGCGCATGATAAAAAGCCGCGCTCGAGCA